CTTAAAGTTAATATCGAAGGTGGAGGTGCCGAGAGAAATACAATACTGAATACGCCAAGAGTTTCAATATTTTAACCTTGGTATATCGGGCTGTGTATACAGAGAATATCCATATCCTAAATTGTAATACGAGTTGATTTGTCTTATGGGGTGGAGCATGGACAAACTCAACACATGCCGCATACGAATACACAGCAACATTTTGATCTACCTCCCTGGCACCAGATTGGACGTGTAATCGCTAGGAAATTATTACATTTACACAATGACAGTCACACAAGAGCAAATAGGTTACTCCCCCGCACCAGGCTGGGCGTTAATCCTGTCTTATCAAACACAATTGCCGATGGGCTCCGTACATACTATAAATGAATGCCCGTCATCAATGAACATGGTCACACCGAAAACGGAGAGCGACTTGTATTTTGTACTGTAATTCGACAGATAGCTGCGACGTTCCCTTAGAAATATTCCTCTACCACATTCTTCACGGATTGTTACGTTTTCGTCCTATCTGTGGTTAGAAATGAACGATTCTTTTAACCGCCAATTTTCAATGTTGCGCCAATTTTAATCTTCATGGCCTATTTTTAGCCGAGTCATAGAATTTAAAATCCCCGATTTACATTACAACACATGCTCGCCGAGTGGCATATGAATACATAGTACACAAAACACCCACGCATTGACTGGATGGTTGGTTATTATTAATTTACACTTCGAAACAAACAAATTTCAACAATAAATTGAACTACATGTATTCTAAAATAGTTCCTTCATCAAAACCGATAGTTGAACATTGAAGGTACATTTTTAAAGATATTTTTTAATTGAACTGTAAATGTGAAGCAATCTTATTAAACACAGGTCATTTTTATTGTGTGTCTCTTTATCTGAAGCATTTTACTGACCCAAATACAAACAAAATAGCGAATTATGTGGGAGTATGTTTTCGTTCGCCGACGACTTAACTGTTAATTAACGTAACATATTGACCGTTCTTGAATTATGTGTTACCGCGAATAATTGCAACACACGGGTTCTCGGCTTACTCATATAACGCATATTTTTTCAATATATATTGCCGGATTATTGCGAGTTATATTCATATTTTTTTCTGTACATACATCTCCCTCACATCTGCATCGTAGTAAGTACTCGTAGTCGTTTTTTACAATGTAAACGTAATTTTACAATATAAACAAAGGACAGACAAAGTACCCTTTCTCGATAATGTATATGAATAGAGAGGATAATTTGCCCCAAAAGTCTGGTTATATTGAATATGGACTATGGTTACCTACTACTATTATCTATATATTATAGATATGACATTGGTGGGTTGAACATTTCAGTTTATTATGTACAGTCTTTTTATTGTTATTTTTGATGCAATAATGTACCACAACCATGAATATGCCGGGTCTATGTTTACTTTTTCTTTAAGAAGAAAAAACTTACTGAAGTAGTAAACGGATGGGTATCAATATTTGTTCAGCACTATACGGGGAAAGAGGTGTAATATGCGTTATTTGATCTTCATTTGATTTGATTTTCAATCGTTGAAAGTACGAGACGGCGACAGAATTTCAGCCTCAAAAATGTAATTCAGTTTTATATATACTGCGCCCTCTACCGACCCTAAGTCAGACCAGACATACATAATATTTACATACGTTCTACATTCAACTCACACTAAAGGTTAAAGTAGAATGCTACGCGCAAATTTGTTACACATGTGCATATTTTGGCGCATATAGCACTAACAATATTTGCGTCAAAATCTGTTTACAATTATTCGTTTTAGTATTGTCAAATCGAAAAACTGACTTTGGGGGTTGTCTTAGAGACGACGTCAAAAGATCGATGTCGGATAAAAAAACTTATTTCCTTTAGTTTGGGGGTGGGGGGTTTTGACCTCAAAAGGTTTCCATCCTACAAAAACGATTTTTTTTTAATGAAGTCAAAACAAATCTTGGAGTATTTGTAGTTCTATCCAATCATGGATAGAAATAACCGAAAAAGGAAAAAAAATAGGAAAAATGGTTTGGTTCGAGTGTAAATCTGTGCGTCAAATGAGGTGCATTTGTAAAATCTTTTTACACCCACCCGACAACCAACTGCTATGCAATACTACTGTCCGATTATCAATTTGTATTTAATGGTGAATGTAGTCTGACGCCATGACCAATATTTATCAATTAAGTTTCAGTGGGGGGTAGGGGGGTTTGGAAAATACTAAAGGAATTAAGTTTTTTATCCGACATCGATCTTTTGACGTTGTCCCTTAATATTGCCATGTATACCGGCGTGTTTTAAATCTAATAATACCTTGTCATATGGTCTATGTCCGCCGTGCTCTATTTACGAATGTCGAACAAATGACGCGGTGCACGTGACCAAACTACACAAGTGTTTGTTTTGCCCTGCGACTGCGCATTTAAATCATTTTGGCCAAACTATGATTTCCCATCTGATCTGTCAAACATTCTGAGTTTGTATCCCTTTTTTCGGCAGTTTTTTTTAATGATAGTTTAAGATATCATAAGATATGATACAAATTACATTATAATTTACCATTTAGCTAAATTTTAAAATGTTATTCAGTCCACCGACGTAAAATATGTATTCTGCGCACCCATGGGTGACTTGGTGTTCCTATAAAACGTCTTAGACGGGTCCTGGCAACGGGATTATAATCTCGAAGTCTGTTGCGCCCTCTATTTCGTAACTCGGCAGTAAACTACATATCCTGTATCTGCCATAGATGAAGTAAAAATGATAACCAGCGAACACATCAAATAGTACTAAATATAACTTGTTATATAAGATATTTGGTATATGTATTCAAGGAAGTTGTTAAATTGTTGTCTGATTTTGACATTTGAGCACCAGGAACGAGTCGTTTTTTTTATCACAATGTAAGCTGAAACCTTGTCCGATAATCACACAAAGCTGGATAATTGATGAGCCCAATATGGAGAACAACCTTTGTGAGCGCAATTCGGAGAGCGAAATTCAGGGTTCCCCATCTGAAATCGAGGGTACATATCCAGATTTGTTTTACATGTACTATCTTTTGTTTAATATAGCGGTAAATGTAGTCCTCGCCGAATTTTAAATATAAAAATTGAAGAAGAAAAAAACAGCTGATTCTTCTGCCCGCCATTACTATTGCACATCATTTACAACAAGAATGTCTTATCTGCATCGGTGAGCAAAATGCTGATAACATTAAAAACGTTACAGACGGTCGTGAGTCCGGAGTTTTCACGTGATCAATTGAATAATTGCACAACAAACAGGCATGGTATCTCTCTTCACTGTTTAATTTATCCACGGTTACTACAGAGATTTCTTCCAGTAGCCGTGATTTATCTTACGTTTCAGCGATAATCTTGAAGTGTGGTGATTAAAATAATCTCGCCGATCGCGTTTATTATATACAAATGTACCACGAAATTTGCTAAATGTCTATAGGAGAAGTCAGTTACATAACATGTATCGTATCGAAAAACAACCAGATACTCAAGTTTATATGAATTAGTCTTAGTCATCCCAATTCTCGCCGACAGCAACACTTATTCTTTTCTATTAACTCTCTCTGGGCCATGTTCCTCCGTGTGGTGGCAACAGCAAGTACCACTAGGCTGAGTAGGATGAACAAAAAACCAAACACGTATTGCATGGTGGCTGTCAAACACAGTGAAAATATGACAACTAACTGCGAGTTGGTGAGCAACACCACCTTGGGTGCAGTTTCCAGTTGCAAACTTCGGAAGAATGACCAAGCCGATAAGACGACGAGCAGCGATTCAGCTATCACCGGCAAATAGGCGATGTTGTTCCATTCCCAAGTGGGGTGCTCTATAAAGTACACCAGTAGTAAATTGATAAAGAAGCAGAAGATGCAGCGATATAACAGCAGTACGAACGTGCATTGCTTGTTGCAGGAACGGGCGCTGATTGACGATAGAGAGAAGAACAACGCGGCGAGAGATGCCATGATGTATCCAATAATCTGCGAGTTATCATCACTGAGATAAATTTCTTCAGAAAATATCACTGAAGGCTGCATTACAAGAAATATGCCAGCAATATTAGCGATACAACATCCCGCTTCTAATAAATGCCATGGTTCGGATACAAATATACCGGCAAGCAAGGCCGTCAGGACAGGGTTAAGGCAACCAATAATCGCCGCGGTGGTGGTCAGCGGAACAGAAGTTACAGCGATTGAGAAAGCGACCGAAGCGAGACACAAGAAAAAAGCCGCGCTGATCACGGCAAAGAACGTTCTGCAATCACCGCCAAATACATCCATTCGACCGAAAGTCACTATTGGCGTGACCAGAAACAACATGACTATGTTTTCAATGAACAGCAGTTGAAAATGAGCGATACCGTTCTCCGTAGAGTACACCATCAACATCCCAACGGCGGCAAACGAGATGCCACGAAACAAAGCCAAGAAAACGCCATACACCGAGAAACAAAAAAAATGGCAGCTCCTCTGACAACTCTCCAGAACGCAGTGTCCCCGTCTTTGATCTGATTCAAATAATAATTTAAGATCATGGTCGCCATCTTGCTTATCTGTATGATCACTCATCACTGGGGGTAACAGATCTTCTTCTATCGTCTTAAGGAGTACGTATCCACAGCGAGTCGCATGTAACTTCATTGAATTTCCCCATTTATATGTATTTGAAGTCATTTCGATAATACTAGTATTATCTTCGACACGCGAAGCGACTTCCACCTCTCTTAACATAGTCCAAGATAATGAATGTTAGCCCGTGTTCTAATTATGGGGACAAAGTAAAAATTATACTGGTCGTCTGAATTCAGATCTCGGCGGTTAATAGAGTCGAAGATATATTGGCCGATGGTGGCGCCTCGAGGAATCCAAAAAATCGTTATGTTTAAAATTCAAATACTATTTCAATATAGTATGCAAGGCTTTATTTACAACGAACAATATTTTAGACAATATAAACTGTCACACATATATCGTTACACAGTCTCGTATTAATCCCTTAACTGTATTACTCAATCGGGTCCCGTTGAATCATTTATAGTATGGGCAAATGTGAACGGTTCATTCGTGCTCTGAAGTTCGTATATCACCATTGACATAATATACTAAAATAATTATTTTTCGGGGTGTATCGGACCTTTCCAGACAATCCATTTGAGGTTGTTTGTTGTCGTTGAATATAAGTGTGGTTATGGTCTTATGGCATAATTTAAATAGACTGGATATAGTAAGTTATCATGCAGGTACTCCCTGATGTCTTGGGACGAATTAAGGCATGGAAATCGTCAGCACGTTTTTTGGAGGGGTGTAATCGGGGAGCAACTTAAACGGAAAAACAAAACAACGAATATACGTATATTTATTACATTTCGTGAAAATGTGGACCACAATCAACACAATTTATACACTAAGAAAATGAAAAAAAAAATACCCAACACAATCCACATATTTCTATAAAAAGTGTATAAAAATACTATTAAATTGAAATAGTTAATGTTATACTAGAAGTTATTTACTGACTATGTGTGAAAACTGACGAGAACTTGAAAGCTAATTTTGCGTGGGAGTAGTCATACGTGTTTTCAAAGAATTGGTATTTATTCTGCACCAAAAAGAAATGTGGGCCGGGCGGTGTATATGGTAAATAGTATCAAGTGTATGATATGTAGAATACCAGAACACAATTGTTTTATGGGAATGCCACATTGCTTCAGCATGTTCGAAATATTTTCGGGAGACAAGTCCTTGTGAATTGGGTGTGGCCAATTGTGGGATATAGCAGAATCAAAAAAATTTGAGTACTCAAAACTGGGCCCTCCCCAAATCATACTCGCATTTTAAGGCTGAATTTCAAGCGCGTGGTGGCGCTGTTTATGTGTGACCGCGATAAAAAGTAAAATGACTAGGATGATGCGCGTGATCTTGTGACCCGTTTGTGTGTCGTCCGGTATACCAGATACCGAACGCCATGAAACCACAACTCCATTCGTTATTTCACTTCATTTCTTCTGGTTACGTGGAGATAATTATGTATTAGTTCCTCGGGTCCCTCTAAATATGTAAGAGTATCAAGTCCCGGCATCGAGTATCATTGTAACACATTTATATGTTATTCATCATCATGTTGCAGTCTCGAACTGCATAGAGGATGACGGTTCAGGGGGTGTTGTGCTTCGCGCATCAGAATCCGATGTCGACCGGCGTTTCTTGAAAGGATCTAAAATACGAATAAAAACATCATTAACATTATACAGTGCATGTTTCGTTTTTTTTGTTTTGTTTTTTGCATTTCACAATAAATTTATCACATACACAAAGACTATGTTGTCGCTATGCTACAAGAAACGTGTGCATCGCGGAAACCTGTGCAGACACTTTGTGTTCTCAATTGTTGATAATTGTTTTGTCATTGTGTGAAGTATGTTGTACTGTCAGGTCATTTTTCATACCAACTAGGCATCCGTTATTTTACGTGAAGTTTCGGAATGAATGTGTCACACAAATGTCAATATTGTCAATACTGACATAAATAAATTAATTAATCAGTTAACCAGCTGGTAAACAATTAACTGTATTCATGTCACTCGCATCTTCGTGTACGTATTGGAAAAACAAATGTAACAATCACCATTAAAATGAACGATTCCTCTAATTTAGATCTGTAGTTCTTACCATTATGCTTTTTATTTTTTCTATTTCCAGATTTGCCAGAATCTTTCTGCTTCTGCGCAAGTAAGTCTGATGACATCGATTTCTGGGAATTTTCACCTGTCTCTAATTTCTTCAGGTTATCTTCTTGTTCCTCACTTCGTAGTTTGTCTGCATCGAAAAAAAAGTGACGTCATTCCTTTACCCTAAATTCTGACATGAGAAAGTTAACATTTTAAAACATTTTTTTTTTATTTATTCAATCCGACAACTTATATAATGTCATTGAATAATTGTGTTGAAGGGAGGAGGAGATTATATGTATAATAGTTATTCGAAATTCATTAGGACGGGTATGGAACATTTAGTTGTCATAGATACCTCTAACATCTATACGTAACTTCTGTAAGTCATCTTTGGCAGCTTTGAAGTCAACACTTATAACAAATTTATCGCTAACAGCCGGGGTCAAACCTGGCAGAGAGGTCGATGCATTGTCCAGCCTACAAACAAACAAAAGTACAAACGTTGTTAAAAGAACAACAACACGGATATTATCGTTATTAAACAATCATCCAAAGTCATGCCAGGAACCTGTGACACAATACCCTGTCCTTGACTCCGGTCAAGCAATATAATTTAATTCAAGTAAACCAATCTTACCTATCTTCCAAAGATTTCGTATTCTGTCAGTTGCCAATCAACGCATCGCGTACAGGACGTTCCCATGGCGACACCAATGTGTGAAATAAATAACAGAACAATAGCGTTAACGTGATTCGTTGATTTTGTATATATTATTCTTGCAATGCGTTATTGCGTATGCTCGCGATATGAAATAAATCTCTGTGGATCGTGTTACCAACAAATCACCTTTGACCCATGAAAGTAACAGACGTTGTAAATTTGACACGTTTAAATTGTGTACTATAACAATCCACTTCTAACGACGCTCATTTTTTTCTGTTCATTCTTTTGTTCGATGACCTAAATAATGGCGATGCATCGTGTACATTACAAGGTAATAGGGCAATTTGTTTAAACTGGTTTCACAAAATATTGTTTTATTCCCGGGATTGCATAACTTTACCTTGATGAAATCTTTTTTTCTCATGGATTCCATATCAGACGTTGTTTTCATCTCCGCCTGTTTAGCCTCTTCCAGTGCCTTGCTATACACAGCTATTTGCCGTCTTAGTTGCGTCGTTATATCGTGTTTATGCTTGTCGATATCATGTAACATTGACTTACGTTTCTGGTCGAGTATTTGATAAAGTGCCTCGCATTCCTTGGATATCGACACTTTCAATTTGCCGCAATTTTTCTAATAAAAAAAAAGTAATGCAATATAATATTTAAGGAATAATTGATTAAAACCAGTGATTTTTGCAACCATCGGGAAGCCCAGCCCATTCACGCGTACTATTAGGGATCGGTCTGTTGTGGACAAATCACTGACTGAAATTTTCAAAATCAGTAGAATGTATTATCACGATTATGTGTATCAAAAGTCAAATAACAATACAGTGTAATCATATTTTATTTAGTTATTTAAATTTGCAATTAATTAATTAATTACTAGTAGTTAATTTATTTATTCGCGTAAACGTTAGGTTTAAAATTGGTACACTGTTCATACAATTCCAAGCAATTCTGGGATAATGTTAAATATGTCTCTGAATGATATATATTGTTTTAATTAAAGTAAATTTATTATATTGTATTATTTGTCATGTGATTGGTGAAACTTGAACCATTCATATAATTTCTGATAAATAAGGGTTGTCGTGACAGGAAATGTCCACTGGTCATTGTATTGCACACG